AAAAAAAAAAAAAAAAAAAAAAAAAAAAAGATGGAAATGGCAAAACTTTGAGATAATAATTGACTAAAAAGAAGTCAAGGATAGGCCAGGCACGGTGGCTCACGTCTGTAATTTCAGCACTTTGGGAAGCCAAAGTAGGCAGATCATTGAGCTCAGGTGTTCAGACCAGCCTGGGCAACATAGTGAAACCCTATCTCTACAAAAAATACCAAAAAATAAGCCAGACATGATGGTGCACACCTGTAGTCCCAGCTACTCGGGAGGCTTAGGTGGGAAAATGGCTTGTGCAACCAGAGGTTGCAGTGAGCTAAGATCATGCCACTGCACTCCAACCTGGGTAACCAAGCCAGACACTCTTCGGGGGTGGGAAATCAAGGATAAATTCCAAGTTTCTGGCTTAGGCAATGTTTTAATACCATTCTGGCTTAGTACCATTCATTAAGATAGGATATGCTGGGAAGGATGTATTTGCGCAAAAGAAGAGAATTAGGTTAGTTTTGTTGAATACTGTTGAGTTTGCGGCCTATCCAGGTAAAGGTAAAGATGTCCAGAGTGCAGTTGGATATACAGTTGTCCCTTAGTATCTATGAGGGATTGGCTTCAGGACCCTTATGGATACTAAAATCCATAGATGCTTAAGTCCCTTATATAAACCAGGATAGTACTTGCATGTAACCTAGCACATCTTTAGAGACAGGGTCTTGCTCTGTCATCCATGCTGGAGTGCAATAACTAGATTGTAGCTCACTGTAGTCTAGAACTCTTGGGTTCAAGCAATCCTCTCACCTCAGCCTCTTGAGTAGCAGTGACTACAGGTGGGCAGCACCATGCCTGGCTAGTTTTTTGTGTGTTTGGTTGGTTGGTTTTTGTTTGTTTTTTTTTTGGAGACAAGAGTGTCACTCTTGTTACCCAGGCTGGAGTGCAATGGCATGATCTCGGCTCACTGCAACCTCCACCACCTGGCTTCAAGCAATTCTCCTGCCTCAGCCTCCCAAGTAGCTGGGAGTACAGGCATGCACCACCATGCCCGGCTAATTTTTTGTATTTTCAGTAGAGACAGGGTTTCTCCGTGTTGGCCAGGCTGGTCTCGAACTCTCAACTTCAGGAGATCTGCCTGTCTCAGCCTCCCAAAGTGCTGGGATTACAGGCATGAGCCACCGCACCCATCCACCTGGCTAGTTTTTTTCTTTCTTTTTTTTTTTTTTTTTTTTTTTTTTTTTTTTTTTTTTTTTTTTTTTTTTGAGACGGAGTTTCGCTCTTGTTACCCAGGCTGGAGTGCAATGCGGCGTGATATCGGCTCACCGCAACCTCCGCCTCCTGGGTTCAGGCAATTCTCCTGCCTCAGCCTCCTGAGTAGCTGGGATTACAGGCACGTGCCACCATGCCCAGCTAATGTTTTGTATTTTTTTTTTAGTAGAGACGGGGTTTCACCATGTTGACCAGGATGGTCTCGATCTCTTGACCTTCGTGATCCACCCGCCTTGGCCTCCCAAAGTGCTGGGATTACAGGCTTGAGCCACCGCGCCCGGCCATATTTTCAACCCTTAGTTGATTGGTCCATAGATAAGGAACCCACAGATATGACAGGCCAACTGTATCCATCCAGATCATAGGGGAAGGATTTGGCCTCGTGATATAAGCTTAAAGAGTCACTTGTCTAGAGATTATAGCAGGAACCATCTGATGGGATGAGATGATCCAGGAATAATGGGGAAAGCAAGAAGTAACCTTTAAGGATCAGGAAAAAAATACTCTGGAAGAAAACTGAGAACTAGGAGGAAAATGAAGAGAGAGTTCTATGCTGGAACTTAGGGAAGGGTGTTTTAATAAGGAGGACGTGGCTACAGAGAGGTGTGAACAGGTGGTGAGGAATTTGAGTGTGCAAGTATGCCACACTTTCAAATAGCGAGGCTACATCAGGCAGAAGCTAGTATACATAAGACAAGAGGAAACATTTTTAAAGATGAGTGAGACTTTAGAGATGGGCAAGCCAGTAGTGAAAGAGGTTAATGATAAGAATGAGAGACAAGATTGGAGATGAAGGAAGATTTCTGAAATAGAGGTAATGAGATACAAAGCAAGGTACATTCTATTAACCTGGAAAAGAGGATGGATAATCTATTCTGAAATAAGAAGGTAGAAGGAAACAGTGGAATCAGGTGTGAGGGAAACACCAGACTGCTCAACATGTTTGCATACTGTTCTTATCTCTACATACTTTCTCAACAACACTGCAAAGTAGGAGGTTTGATGTATCTTCAGTTCATAAAGGAATCGATGGCACAGTTGGTAAGTAAATGCTAGATGAGGGTTTGAGTCTAAGCATGTCTGCCTCTAAAGTTTAAATAATCTTTCTGCTGTATAGCTTCATCATCCCCAGTTTATGAAATTGGGACAATAAGAGAACCAGAGGCCAGGTGAGGTGACTCACATCTATCCCAGCATTTGGGGAGGTCAGAGTTCAAGGAGCCCAGAAGTTCAAGACCAGCCTGAGCAACATAGTGAGACCTCATCTCTAGTAAAAATTTAAAAATTATCCGGGTGTGGCCGGGCGCGGTGGCTCAAGCCTGTAATCTCAGCACTTTGGGAGGCCGAGGCGGGTGGATCACGAGGTCAAGAGATCGAGACCATCCTGGTCAACATGGTGAAACCCCGTCTCTACTAAAAAAAAAATACAAAACATTAGCTGGGCATGGTGGCACGTGCCTGTAATCCCAGCTACTCAGGAGGCTGAGGCAGGAGAATTGCCTGAACCCAGGAGGCGGAGGTTGCGGTGAGCCGAGATCGCGCCATTGCACTCCAGCCTGGGTAACAAGAGTGAGACTCTGTCTCAAAAAAAAAAAAAAAAAAATTATCCGGGTGTGGTAAGGCAGACCAGTGGTCCCAGCTACTCAGAAGGCTCAGGCAGGAGGATCACTTGAGCCCAGGAGGCTGAGGCTGCAGTGAACTGTGTTCACACCACTGCACTCTAGTCTGGGGTAAACAAAGGGAGACCTGGTCTCAAAAAAACAAACAAAAAAAGCATTGTTAGGAGGATTTAGGAAGGTAATGCTTCTAATACAGGGCTTGAATGAATGTTAACTTTCTCTTACCTATTCTTTTGGAACAGAAAAACTCAAGAAGACTTCCCAGGTTGTAATTTCCCAAGCTTTTTTTTTTTTTTTTTTTTTTGTCTCTTCTGCATGTCTGACAAAATTTCCCATACCATCTTTCAGTAACACTTTTATTTTGCTCATACTTGAGCCTCATCATCACAGTTACCTTTATGTGCACAAGGTCTCCGGGCCTTGCTGTCATTCCTTCATTTGGCCAAAAAATGCTTCTTCCTGAAAGTCCCCCATGAAGCATTCTCCTAGTACTAAGTACAATTTATTAGCTCCCCAGTTTCCCTTTTCTCCTCCTTCAAGTACACACACACCTAATCTAAAACAGGGCCTTCCTAGTCCGAACCGTTGGTGTCAAATACACAGGAGTGCCACAGCCTTGAATCTAATTACCTAGCACTTTGAATAAATCTGGAAAGACTAGTATGCTTACAAGATGATAAAAATGTATAAAATAAACATTTAAATTATACAGATTTTTTTTTCTTTTGCTTTTCTTGTCTCTGCACAGCCATTAGTTTCTGAAGATCAGACAGCAGCCCTGATGGCCCATCTCTTTGAAATGGGATTCTGTGACAGGCAGCTGAACCTACGGCTGCTGAAGAAACATAATTATAACATCCTGCAGGTTGTGACAGAACTTCTTCAGATCAACAACAATGACTGGTACAGCCAACGTTATTGAGGAGTGACCTTGTATTAAATAATTGCTTGCTGCTCAGAGATGATCTTTATTCTGTTATTGGGGTTAAGCCCTTGCTTATTTTTCATCTGATGAATCTATATAGAGCCCATCATTGAGTTACCAAGACAGTACCTGTTACAGTATTTGGGGGAGCAAATCAAAGACCAGAACTTAAATTTTCACTTTAGACACTGGATGAATAGAATAGTAGGAAGACAGTTTTGATTTGGATAAAACGCCTTTATTTTAGTGCATCGACAAGTGTAACTTCAAGTTCGTATAGAACCATTTTTCTTTCTGCTTTTATTGAAGTTGGGTATTTTTCTTTGGTTAATGTGGAATTTTTATGGGAGTATCTGTTAATTGTCAGGTTTTGAAAGAAATTAACCTTGAAAGTTGTTTTCAAGAATTATTCTCATAATTTCTGTAATCCACCCCAAGCTTCATAGTTATTTGGCACTGAAATAACACCCAGAGCATGATAGAAATGTTGTTACTCTTCCTTTCTCAAGGAGAAAGTAATTTTCCTGCAAGACTTAATAATTGGCACTATTGCTAAAGACTCCACGGTGCATTCAAGAGTATCCAACTTTCAAGGATCTCTGCATTTCAGTGAGAGGAGGAAGAGTGTGCTGATTAACCCACCAGCAACTATTGAGCAATGTCTATTATAGTAATTCTGCATACATTTTTATTTAAGGGAAAAAAATTTAGGTAGTGTGAAATATTTTGCTAACCTTATAGAAAAGGAAAAAAAATCCTATTATTTAAAGGGAAAATTTAACAGTACCTTTTTTCTTAATGTCAGGGGAGATCTTATTTTACAGTTCAGTGGGGGAAATAGAAATATGTGAAAAGCAAAAGGCAGGCTCCTAAATTAATGTCAGTAAAGTTCAGGGTGGGCAAATGAGTGCGTATGAAGGTATAGGAAATGCTGATGACTTCTTTAATGCATGAAGTCCATTCAGAGGTATCTAGCCCTAGAAAGCCTAGAACAGGAAGAGGCAGCTGATGTTCTGCAGAACTTGGACAGGGGCAAAGTTGCTGAAAAAGTTTTGGTTTAACCCCAAGATAAGTGGGACAGAGCTTGTCCAGGGGCCCAAGTTCTCACTCTGTTTACAGAAGGGAGTTGGTGAAGGAAGAGGTAACAAAAAATGCTAAACATTTTATCCATGAAAATGACTTCCAGAAAAGGAAGAATCTGAACCCCAGACCGAAGGGGGGAAAGATAATTAAAATAGTATTATCTAACCTGGTTGGTATTTGTAATGAATGGTGATTTTAATTAGTCATTAGCCATAATGATGTTTATTTACAGTATAACTCCTGAATGCTACTTAAATAAACCAGGATTAAAACTGCAAGCCAACCAGGCCGTTCATTATTTAAAATGTTAATCAGGGCTTCCGGATTGAAGATGGGAGCAGCTGGGTGTCTGTAATTGGGTTGATGGGCGGGACCTGTCTTGACCATCGGAGTTTTATAGTCGAGGGCCAGGAAGGCCCGGGTCGTCCGCTCCGTTGTAATTTTACATAACCACTTAAAGAATGGTGAAATAAATGTTCTTGGAAATTCCTACCTGGACTGGCTAGTCCTTGCGGAAGCAGCGTCCGGGGCCTCGGGTGACGTTCGGAGAGCTGAGAGCGTCTCACGTCGCTGCGTGGCGAAGGGGCGGGCCCGGGGACGAGGGGGTGGGCCCGGAGGGGCTGGGGCGGGACTTCCTTGGGCACTGAGTCAAAGCTTGAGACGGGTGTCCGCTTCCGCACTTTTGATTCCGCTTGCTGGCGTTTCTGTCGCTGCGGTAGTCCGCTGGTAAGACCCTCCTCAGACTCTGTCTGCGCTTCCCTTCGGAGGTCAAGAGACCTATGCCGCTGCCTCGCCCAACACACAGGCGCCCCCTGCCCAGGTACCGAACTTGACTAACGGCCTCTCGAGGTGTCTGGTGGGACTTGAAATCCTCCTTCAATGAAGTCACACCTTCTCCGTCCGCGCACACCCTGTCGGCCCATGAGAGAGCCGCCATGTAGCCCGGAATCAGTTTGGCCCTTCCGGGAGGTCAGGGTCCTTACTATCCCCACTCTCCAGTGCGACACATTCGCTCCCCTAGGACTCCTGAAGGCGGCTGGCGGCGCTTCTCCTCCCCACCACTGCCCAGCCCAGCCCACTCTGCCCTCAGAGGCCCTTCTCCCCAAAGACACACTCCTGAAGTGTCGCCCTTGTGCAGCTGAGGAGCCTGGGATCCCAGAACTGAACCAGGTGAGTCTCCCTATATTTAGCCCAGAAAGATCTGTGTGGCTCACTTGCCGGCCTCCTTGTGCCACACAGAGTCCAGATTTAGCCTTGACTTTTCCTAGTGAAAGACCCTGATTTCTCCTTAGGGTTTCTTACCCCGCCTCAGAAAGCAGTGAGGCGTCTGCTTTCTACCATTGCGTCCTTAGGGATCTTAACCACACCTGTGACCAGTCTGGCCTCCTCTCTCCTTGTTTCAAGGAATCTCTTTTCTGCCCTATCCAACTTCCTTCCCTTGAAGTGAATGATAGCTCAGCAACTTTTCCAGAGAAAAACTAAATCCTCTGCCATTCACTTACAGAAGTTCCTTAAAGTGAAATAACTTCTGCTTTTCTCTTCCCTTTTGAGGCAGAGTGGTCTCTTTAACAATAATGAAAGGAGTTGAAATGCATTGAGATTCTGAGGGTCCCATGTAACCACGTGATTTTTCACACCCTATCTTCCTTAGGCTTGATCTTGCTTAAACTGTGGTGGGGTTCCTTGCAAATCTTGAGAACCTCAAACCAAAATTATATCTGGCTTCAGTGCTAACAAGCTTAGCACTGAACTTTGGTCTTTTCTCATTAGTGAACCCCCACCCCACCCCGAAGAATGGGTAAGACGTTTTCCCAGCTGGGCTCTTGGCAGGAGGATGAGAACAAGTCAATCCTGTCCTCCAATCCAACCATTGGCAGCAAGGCTGCCAGCTACTCCAGTACCAGTAGCAGCAAGTCTTTTTGTTCCCGTGTGCCTTGTGAAGGAACTGCTGGTGCCAGCTTTGTGACTTGTCCCACCTGCCAAGGCAGTGGCAGGATTCCCCAAGGTGAGTGGCCCAAGGCTCTGGAAATAGCCTGGAATCCAGGGAAAGTTCTTAGCCTGTTGGTCTGGGGCAGCCCCTCTGAGTCTCCTTGGATGGGGTTAGATCTGCTCCCAGCTCTTGACCTCCCAGTCTCAGGCTGGCCAGGGAGTGAGTTACTGTCCTTGGGCTCCCTGCAAAAACCTGCCCTCCTGCCCTGGTTGTATTCCCCAGCCCCTTGTGGGAAAGAGGGGTTCTAGCCACTGTGCTCTTGAGCAACACTGTGTGTCTTAGGATTCGTTCAGTTCAAGAAGTTTCAAATTACTTTCCAAAGATGCTGGGAACCTCTGATTTGCTAGTGACTTTCAGAGATTCTTCATACCTATTAGTGGAAATCCTACTTCCATTCTAGGGATGGTAAAGCTGAGCTGCCAACTTTGGTAGCGGAGTCCAGTGCTTCCAGTCCTGCTCTGGGGCAGAGGTGGCATGCTTCTAACATTGCTCTATGGTGTGGGTGGAGGGGTGGGAGGCTGGCACAGGAAATATTTGTCACAATTGCACCTTGGCCCTCCCTCTCACCCTCCCTCCCTCTCTAGAGCTGGAGAAGCAGTTGGTGGCTCTCATCCCCTATGGGGACCAGAGGCTGAAGCCCAAGCACACGTAAGTTCCCCTTCCTCCCCCAGCTCCACAAGTCATCGCCCCTGGGGGCTTCTCCCTTTGTCTCTTCTATTTTGATCCCCCCTAATTTTTTCCTATTAGTTCTTCTATAGAAAGCCTGAACCTCACTGGGCTCAGAGGTACCAGCTCCTTATGTCCAAGGATTTTTCCTGATTTAAGAAGCTCCAGGGCCAGGTGTGGTGGCTCACGCCTGTAATACCAGCACTTTGGGAGGCTGAGGCAGGTGGATCACTTGAGCTCAGAAGTTCAAGACCAGCCTGGGCAATATGGTGAAACCCCATCTTTACCAAAAAAAGAAGCAGCAGCCGCTGTGGGCACAGCAGATGTCACATGAAGCCACTTGGTAGCCTTCCTTAAGCATCACTGCTTCCAGGAAGCATGACCCCCTCTCCAAGACAGAAAGGATCTAGTAGCACTGCAAGTCCTCCCAGGAAGGAGGGAACAAGCACGTGACCCTGGCTGCAGTTGATTTGAAAACATTTTCTAAAGCACTTCCCTGGCTGAGGCACTTCAGACTTGCTTGTTTTTCTCCCAGAAGAGATGAAAAACCTATTGCTGCCTGTTCTGGGACATTTCAGAACCTCAGGCAGCCCTGGGACCCACCATGTTTGTGATCTGAGTCCATCTGACATGGAACTCCCACAGCCACCTCCCAAGGGCCTGGTGTCAACCTGGGAGTCCACACCAAACCAGACCCTCTCAGCCACCCCACTGTACCAGAATTAGAAATCAGTCTGGGCGCCGTGGCTCATGCCTGTAATTCCAGCACTTTGAGACTAAGGCAGGCAGATCACCTGAGGTTAGCAGTTCAAGACCAGCCTGGCCAACACAGCAAAACCCTGTCTCTACTAAAAATACAAAACTTAGCTGGGCATGGTGGCAGACATCTGTAATCCCAGCTACTTGGGAGGCTGAGGCAGGAGAATCATTTGAACGTGGGAGGTGGAGGCTGCAGTGAGCCAAGATCACACCACTGCACTCCAGCCTGGGTGACATAGTGAGGCCTCATCTCCAAAAGAAAAAAAAGAAAGAAATTACCAGGCTGGCCAGCATGGTGAAACCCTGTGTTTTTTACAAAAATTAGCCAGGTGTGGTGGCAGGTGCCTGTAATCCCAACTACTCTGGAAGCTGAGACAGGAGAATTGCTTGAACCCGGGAGGTGGAGGTTGCAGTGAGCTGAGATCGTGCCATGGCACTCAGCCTGGCTGACAGGGCAAGACTGTCTCAAAAAAAATAAATAAATACAAAATTAGCAGTGCACATCATAAGATACTAACAAAGTACTGTCTCTCTAATGCATATCTGAATTTTGAATTGAATGGAAGGTGTTCTGTTCTGAATGTTAAAATTCAGAACTTTCAAATATGGACTTATTTCTTCTAGTGATAATTAGCATTCATTGTGCTTTTGCCATGTGCAAGGACCTGTGATTAGTATTTTTTCATATATTAGCCGATAAATTCTGTGAGGTCAGTACAATTATCTGCCTTTTACCAACTGAGACAAGGAGGTAAGTGGGCTGCTCCATGTTATTGGGTCAATGGGCACAGAGAGCTGGGAGTGGAAACCAGGTTGCCTGCCTCCCAGTTCTGTGCGTCTTCTCACTCTGGGCCACATCTGGGGAGCTAAATGTTGGGGTGGTGTGCAGGGGAACGCCTTGTATATGGAAAGGAGTGTCTGAACCCCCTCCCCAAGTTTCCTTGGTGTTCAGACTTTTCCATTCCTCCATCCTGGGTCCTGCTTTCCCACAGGAAGCTCTTTGTGTTCCTGGCGGTGCTCATCTGCCTGGTGACTTCCTCCTTCGTCATCTTTTTCCTGTTTCCCCGGTCCATCCCTGTGCAGCCTGCAGGCCTCAACTCCTCCGCAGTGGCCTTTGGCGAGTCTGATATCCACCTCAACATAACGGTGGGTGGGTGCCCTTGGGCTCCATCCCCCCCTTCCCAGCAATACTTCGCTGTAATCTTTGTCCACTTTTGTGACCCTGGGCATGGGAAGCCGGGGATCTTATGGCACGCAGAGGGTGTTGGGAGCCTGAAGAGAGGTAGGAGCAACCATGAGCTCCATGACAGATGGTAAGGATTGGGACTCTACACAGTAAGGGGTCAGAATCAGGGCCAGATAAGTAAATCATAGAGGTGGATGGGGTGACAGTGCCTGAGACTCCCTGGTGGACAGTACTGAATGGAAAGAAGCCGTACAGGGTGAGCCTGGATCCTGCGCCAGCTTAACTTCTTCACCATTCAGAGCCCCTCCCAAGGGCTCCTGGTACTGGTCCTCTGCACCTGAAGCTTGTCATGGGGCTCAGGCCAGCCAGCCAGGCTTCTGCAACTGTTTGGCTTCTCCTAAGGATAGGCCATCTTCACTCCTCCCTTCCTTTGTCTTCATCCCCAGAATGTCTTAAATATCTTCAATGGCAACTACTACCCCATCACGTTGACGCAGCTGACTCTTGAGGTTCTGCACCTGTCCCTCGTGGTAGGGCAGGTTTCCAACAACCTTCTCCTACACATCGGCCCTCTGGCTAGTGAACAGGTGACTCTCCTCTCCCTGGCCAGCCCTGCCCACCGGAGTATGGATGTGTGGTGGTGAGAAAGGGTCAGCTGGAGTTGGGGCTAACCCTGTGCCCATTTGTTTGACAGATGTTTTATGCAGTAGCCACCAGGATACAGGATGAAAACACATAGTGAGTACCCCTTGATCTCTTCTCCCCTAGCTGCTTGTCTGCCTTAGGAACCCACTTAATACCCACCAGCTTTCCTGATTGCTTAGCAAATTCTGCAGCCAGCATCTGGCCTGCCCTCCCATGGCCAAGAATGTAATAAGCAAGAGTTCAGGGTCCCCAGCCTCTGCCTGTTTGGATCTTGATTAGAATGCAAAACAGGTTGGAATTTGGTTAATCTTTACAATATGTGACCTTGAGCTCTTCAGCCTGCATTGCTGAGGAAGATGAATGTTTTGTTTTCTACTGAGTGGGGGTTCCAGCATGTGCCTGGGCCAAGTGAGTGGAGGTCAGAGTGATAGTGCAGCTGCCACACTCACCTGAGGGGTGGGAGTGGCATTTTGGGGGCACCTAATGGAGGGAAGGGGGTCTGTGGGATAAGGAAACTGGGACCTGCAGGCATCCTCTGAGCTAACAGGCTGCTCCATGTGACACATGGTCCCACGTTCTCTTTTTCTCTTAGCAAAATCTGTACCTGGCCGAAAATCAAAGTCCACCATGTGCTTTTGCACATCCAGTAAGTAGAGCCTGGAGCTCTGGTATCCCTGACATCACTTCTGACTTCAGTCTCACTCAGCTCCTCCTCATGGGCAGAGAGTCATCCAAGCGGACCCCATGAGTCTTTGTTGGCTCTTGGGAATAGCAAGTCTGGCCACTTTTCTAAGTCTCACCTTGCCTATAAGCTATTAGGGACAACAGGCATAGGGTGTCTAGAAGCTGCTGGAACACAGGTGGGGCAGCTGTCCCAGCTACCTTGCAGAGTGGGAGCCAGAGGGAAGGGAAAATGAGGGAGCCCCTCCTCCCCACCCCCAGACAGAATAACAGGGCCAGAGCTTTCCTTTTCCTCCCAGCCATGGCAGCAAGGCCTGTTTCCTCTCCAGGGGCACCCTCACCTGTTCCTACCTGAGCCATTCTGAGCAGCTCGTCTTCCAGAGCTATGAATATGTGGACTGCCGAGGAAACGCATCAGTGCCCCACCAGCTGACCCCTCACCCACCATGACCTGTCTGCTGTCCCTGTACTCCAAGCACCTGTAACCCTGTTCTATATCTCCCACAACTCCCTGGTGACTAAAGAAGGACTATAGAGGCTTTGCCAAAGGAGAAGCCCTGCTTCATCACGCTCTTCCCTCGTCAGCACAGGGAGCTTGCTTTGAAGTTAACTTCATACACACACACTCATATCCTTTGAGTCGCCCAGATTCTTTCAGTGGCTTCAGAATCTTTCAGATTCTGCCCTTGGTTAGTCTTTTTTTTTTTGGTAGAGACAGAGAATTTCACTGTTGGCCCAGGCTGGTCTTGAACTCCTGGGCTCAAGCAATCCTCCCTTCTTGGCCTCCCAAAGTACTTGGATTACAGATGTGAGTCACTGTGCCTGGCTGGTCTTTCTTGGGGAAAATCTGACCTGGCATTTTCTTGAGGCACCTTACATTCCTAGAAGTGGCACCTGCCCTTTCAAGTACTGAGCACCTGGTCAGTCTGAAGGGGCCACTTCACCCCAACTCCATTGGGGCTCATTCTACTGTCTGAATATAGAGAAAGCTGTAGTTTTATCTGGCTTTTAAAACATAGACCCGCTGGCCGGGCGCAGTAGCTCACACCTGTAATCCCAGCACTCTGGGAGACTGAGGCAAGTGGATCACCTGAGGTCAGGAGTTTGTGACCAGCCTGGCCAACATGGTGAAACCCCATCTCTACTAAAAATATAAAAATTAGCTGGGCGTGGTGGCATGCCTGTAATCCCAGCTACTTGGGAGGCTGAGGCAGGAGAATCGCTTGAAACCAGAAGGCAGAGTTTGCAGTAAGCCAAGATCACGCCA